CCACCCCGCACACTAACCACCCCACACTTTAAACCACCCACACACAAACCACCCCACACACAAACCACCCCACACACTAACCAACCCACACACACTAACCACCCCACACACTAACCACCCCACACATTAACCACCCACACACAAACCACCCTGCCACTAACCACCCCACACATTAACCACCCCACACACTAACCACCCCACACACTAACCACCCCACACACTAACCACCCACACACTAACCACCAACACTAACCACACCACACACTAACCACCCCACCCACTAACCACCCCACACACTAACCACCCAACCACACTAACGACCCCACACAGTAACCACCCAACACACTAACGACCCCAACACTAATCACCCCACCCACTAACCACCCCACACACAAACCACCCCACACACAACCACCCGCACACTAACCACCCCACATTAACCAACCCACACACTAACCACCCCGCACACTAACCACCCCACACATTAAACACCACACACTAACCACCCCACACACTAACCACCCCACACACTAACCACCCCACACACTAACCACCCCACACACTAACCACCCAACACTAACCACCCCACACACAACCACCCCACACACTAACCACCCCACACACTAACCACCCCACACACTAACCACCCCACACACTAACCCACCCACACACTAACCACCAACACACTAACCTCCCCACACACTAACCACCTCACACACTAACCACCCCACACACTAAACCACCCCACACCACTAACCACCCCACACTAACCACCCCACACACTAACCACCCCACACACTAACCACCCCACACACTAACCACCCCACACACTAACCACCCCACACACTAACCACCCCACACACTAACCACCCCACACACTAACCACCCCACACACTAACCACCCAACACACTAACCTCCCCCACACACTAACCACCTCACACACTAACCACCCCACACACTAACCACCCCACACACTAACCACCCCACAACACTAACCACCCCACACACTAACCACCCCACACCTAACACCCCACACACTAACCACCCCACACACTAACCCACCCCACACACTAACCACCCCACACACTAACCACCCCACACACTAACCACCCCACACACTAACCACCCCACACACTAACCCCCCACCACACACTAACCACCCCACACACTAACCTCCCCACCACAACCACCTCACACACTAACCACCCCACACACTAACCACCCCACACACTAACCACCCCACACAAACCACCCCACACACTAACCACCCCACACACTAACCACCCCACACACTAACCCCCCACACATAACCCCCCCACACACTAACCACCCCACACACCACCCCACACACTAACCACCCACACACTAACCACCCCACACACTAACCACCCCACACACTAACCACCCACACACTAAACCCCCCGTATTTAACTATTTCCCCCCCCTCCCCCCCCCCCCCCCGAACATGCCAACCATGTCATTCAAGGTTGATGTGAAATGACAACGTCATCAAGGTCAGTTACTGAAGAAAACATTAATGTTCTCTTTATTCAAGGGTCATTTTTGGGAAATAACAGAAATATATTATATATATATATATTATATATATATATATATATTATTATAATATATATATATATATATATATATATATATAAAAATTATTGGTTTGGTGCATGATTTTAATGTATCTGTATTAAATACTCCGAATTTACGAATGAAAATTTTGAGTTGTCAAAAAAAAAAAGAAAAATACCCCGTAGTGGGTTTTTCTTTTATTTTTCCTGCGCTTGGTAATTCATTTATAGATTTTCATTTGATTCACGGGGAAGCGCTAAATGTGCAGGGGTGATATATTTGGAGGGAAAGGGAGGCATTCCAGTTCGATCCATGGAAGGGGAGGGTGAGTCCAATTCTTTGGATCAAGAGCCTTTCACCGGCTTCAAGGAACCCGGAGGGAGTCCTCAGTGCTTGATTATTATTATTATTATTATTATTATTATTTTTTTTCAACAAGTCGGCCGTCTCCCACCGAGGCAGGGTGACCCAAAAAGAAAGAAAATCCCCAAAAAGAAAATACTTTCATCATCATTCAACACTTTCACCACACTCACACATAATCACTGTTTTTGCAGAGGGGCTCAGAATACAACAGTTTAGAAGCATATACGTATAAAGATACACAACATATCCCTCCAAACTGCCAATATCCCAAACCCCTCCTTTAAAGTGCAGGCATTGTACTTCCCATTTCCAGGACTCAAGTCCGGCTATATAAAATAACCGGTTTCCCTGAATCCCTTCACTAAATATTACCCTGCTCACACTCCAACAGCTCGTCAGGTTCCAAATACCATTTGTCTCCATTCACTCCTATCTAACATGCTCACGCACGCTTGCTGGAAGTCCAAGCCCCTCGCCCACAACTCCTCCTTTACCCCCTCCCTCCAACCTTTTCGAGGACGAGCCCTACCCCGCCTTCCTTCCCCTACAGATTTATACGCTTTCCATGTCATTCTACTTTGATCCAGTCTCTCTAAATGACCAAACCACCTCAACAACCCCTCTTCTGCCCTCTAACTAAAGCTTTTATTAACTCCACACCTTCTCCTAATTTCCACACTCCGAATTTTCTGCATAATATTTACACCACACCAACCGCCTCCTCGCTGCTGCATTCACAACCCAAGCTTCACACCCATATAAGAGTGTTGGTACTACTATACTTTCATACATTCCCTTCTTTGCCTCCATAGATAACATTTTTTTGTCTCCACATATACCTCAACGCACCACTCGCCTTTTTTTCTTCATCAATTCTATGATTAACCTCATCCTTCATAAATCTATCCGCCGACACGTCAACTCCCAAATATCTGAAAACATTCACTTCTTCCATACTCCTCCCCAATTTGATATCCAATTTTTCTTTATCTAAATCATTTCATACTGTCATCACCTTACTCTTTTCTATATTCACTTTCAACTTTCTACCTTTACACACATTCCTAAGTTCGTCCACTAACCTTTGCAATTTTTCTTTAGAATCTCCCATAAGCACAGTATCATCAGCAAAAAGTAACTGTGTCAATTCCCATTTTGTATTTGATTCCCCATAATTTAATCCCACCCCTCTCCCGAACACCCTAGCATTTACTTCTTTTACAACCCCATCTATAAATATATTAAACAACCATGGTGACATTACACATCCCTGTCTAAGACCTACTTTTACCGGGAAGTAGTCTGCCTCTCTTCTACACACCCTAACCTGAGCCTCACTATCCTCATAAAAACTCTTTACAGCATTTAGTAACTTACCACCTATTCCATACACTTGCAACATCTGCCACATTGCTCCTCTATCCACTCTTATCATATGCCTTTTCTAAATCCATAAATGCAATAAAAACTTCCTTACCTTTATCTAAATACTGTTCACATATATGCTTCAATGTAAACACTTGGTCTACAAATCCCCAACCCACTGTAAAACCTCCTTGCTTATCCGCAATTCTACATTCTGTCTTACCTCTAATTCTTTCAATTATAACCCTACCGTATACCCTGGTATACTCATTAAACTTATTCCTCTATAATTTTTACAATTTCTTTTGTCCCCCTTCCCTTTATATAAAGGGACTATACATGCTCTCCGCCAATCCCTAGGTACCTTCCCCTCTTTCATACATTTGTTAAACAAAAATGCCAATCACTCCAACACTATATCCCCTTCTGCTTTTAACATTTCTGTCATGATCCCGTCAGTTCCAGCTGCTTTACCCCTTTTCATTCTACGTAATGCCTCACGTACCTCCCCCACACTCACATCCTCCTAAAAGATGGTATACCTCCCTGGCCAGTGCATGAAATTACCGCCTCCGTTTCTTCGTCGACATTTAAAAGCTCCTCAAAATATTCTCGCCATCTACCCAAAACCTCCATCTCCCCATCTACTAACTCCCCTACCCTGTTTTTAACTGACAAATCCATTTGTTCCCTAGGCTTTCTTAACTTGTTTAACTCACTTAAAATTGTTTTCTTATGTCCAATAACATTTCTTGACAGTACCTCTCCCACTCTATCATCCGCTCTCCTTTTGCACTCTCTTACCACTCTCTTCACCTTTCTTTTACTCTCCATATACTCTACTCTTCTTATAACACTTCTGCTTTTTTAAAAACCTCTCATAAGCTAACTTTTTCTCTTTTATCACACCCTTTACTTCATCATTCCACCAATCACTCCTCTTTCCTCCTGCGCCCACCCTCCTATAACCACAAACTTCTGCCCCACATTCTAATACTGCATTTTTAAAAGTCATCCAACCCTCTTCAACCCCCCCCACTACTCATACTTGCACCAACCCACCTTTCTGCCAATATTTGCTTATATCTCGCCCGAAATATATTATTATTATTATTATTATTATTATTATTATTATTATTATTATTATTATTATTATTATTATTATTATTATTTTACTGATTTTACTGAACTTGATAATGACAGCAAACATGACTGTGATACTGAACATGATAATAACACTTTGATGATGGCATTGAACATGACACCAATACTGAACATGACACCAATACTGAACATGACACCCATACTGAACACGACACCCATACTGAACATGACACCCATATTGAACATGACACCAATACTGAATATGACACCAATATTGAACATGACACCCATACCGAACATGACACTGATACCGAACATGACACCCATACTGAACATGACGGTGGTACTGAATGACACCGATACTGTACATGACACTGACACTGAACATGACAACGACAATGAACATAACAACGACTCCGAACATGACACCGACGCTGAACATGACCACGACACTGAACATGATACAAATACTGAACATGACACAATACTGAACATGACCACGACACTGAACATGACAACACAGAACATGACAACGACACGGAACATGACACTGAGCATGAGGATAATCAAGGCTTCATCTTTGCAGCTGGATATGGAAGATGACGATGACTCGTCGGTGCCAGCTGGAGGGTTCTGGCTGTCCAGCTGGAGGGGCACCGCCCCCTACACCCCGCCACCCCTTAAAGGTACGTCATTACTACATTGTGGGTCACAGTACACGATGAGTCACCATACAAGTGAGTCCCAGTACACGTGAGTCACTAGTACACAGGTGAGTCACCAATACACAGTGAGTCACCAGTACACAGTGAGTCACCAGTACACGATGAGTCACTAGTACACGGTGAGTCACTAGTACACGGTGAGTCACCAGTACACAGTGAGTCACCAGTACACGATGAGTCACCAGTTTACGGTGAGTCACTAGTACACAGTGAGTCACCAGTACACGATGAGTCACCAGTACACAGTGAGTCACTAGTACACAGTGGGTCACCAGAACACAGTGAGTCACCAGTACACAGTGAGTCACCAGTACACGATGAGTCACCAGTACACGGTGAGTCACTAGTACAGTGGGTCACCAGAACACAGTGAGTCACCAGTACACAGTGAGTCACCAGTACACGATGAGTCACCAGTACACAGTGAGTCACCAGTACACGGTGAGTCACCAGTACACAGTGAGTCACCAGTACACGGTGAGTCACCAGTACACGGTGAGCCACCAGTACACGATGAGTCACCAGTACACAGTGAGTCACCAGTACACGATGAGTCACCAGTACACAGTGAGTCACCAGTACACGGTGAGTCACCAGTACACGGTGAGCCACAATACATATTGAGTCACCAGTACACGGTGGGTCACCAGTACACAGTGAGTCACAAGTACACGGTGGGTCACCAGTACACGATGAGTCACCAGTACACAGTGAGTTACAAGTACACGGTGGGTCACCAGTACACGATGAGTCACCAGCACACAGTGAGTCGCAAGTACACGGTGGGTCACCAGTACACGATGAGTCACCAGTACACAGTGAGTCACCAGTACACGGTGAGTCACCAGTACACAGTGAGTCACCAGTACACGGTGAGTCACCAGTACACGGTGAGTCACCAGCGCACAGTGAGTCACTAGTACACGATGGGTCACCAGTACATGAGTCACCAGTACACGGTGAGTCAACAGTACACGGCGAGTCACCAGGGTGGGTCACCAGTACATGATGAGTCACCAGTACACGGTGAGTCACCAGTACACGTGAGTCACAGTAACGGTAAGTCACCAGTACACAGTGAGTCACCAGTTCACGGTGGGTCACCAGTACACGGTGGGTCACCAGTACACGGTGAGTCACCAGTACCGATGAGATCACCAGTACAGTGAGTCACAGTACACGTGATCACCAGTAACGGTGAGTCACCATACACATGAGTCACCAGTACACATGAGTCACCAGTACACGGTGAGTCACCAATACACTGAGTACACCAGTACACAGTGAGTCACCAGTACACAGTGAGTCACCAGTACACAGTGAGTCACCAGTACACGGTGAGTCACCAGTACACGGTGAGTCACCAGTACACGGTGGGTCACCAGTACACGTGAGTCACCAGTACACGTGAGTCACCAGTACACGGCGAGGTCAACAGTACATGAGTCACCAGTACACAGTGAGTCACCAGTACACGGTGGTCACCAGTACACGTGGGTCACCAGTACACGTGAGTCACCAGTACCCGATAAGTCACCAGTACACGATGAGTCACCAGTACACGGTGGGACACCAGTACACGTTGAGTCACCAGTACACGGTGAGTCACCAGTACACGGTGAGTCACCAGTACACAATGAGTCACCAGTACACAGTGAGTCACCAATACACGGTTGGTCACCAGTACACTGTGAGTCACCAGTACACGGTGAGTCACCAGTACACAGTGAGTCACAAGTACATGGTGAGTCACCAGTACACTGAGTCACCAGTACACAGTGAGTCACAAGTACACAGTGAGTCACCAGTACACGATGAGTCACCAGTACACAGTGAGTCACCAGTACACTGAGTCACCAGTACACGTGAGTCACCAGTCACGGTGAGTCACAGTACACGTGAGGTCACCAGTACACAGTGAGTCACCAGTACACGGTGAGTCACCAGTACACAGTGAGTGACAAGTACACAGTGAGTCACCAGTACACGGTGAGTCACAGTACACGGTGAGTCACCAGTACACAGTGAGTCACCAGTACACAGTGAGTCACCAGTACACAGTGAGTCACAGTACACGTGAGTCACCAGTATACACAGTGAGTCACCAGTACACGTGTAGTGATGAGTCACCAGTACACAGTGAGTCACCATGTAACAACGGTGAGTCACCAGTACACAGTGAGTCACCAGTACACGGTGAGTCACCAGTACACAGTGAGTCACCAGTACACGGTGAGTCACAGTACACTGAGTCACCAGTCACAGGTGGAAGTACAGTGCACCAGTACACAGTGAGTCACCAGTACACAGTGAGTCACAGTACACGGTGAGTCACCAGTACACAGTGAGTCACACGTATCAGTTCACCAGAACGGTGACAGTCCATCAGTACACAGTGAGTCACCAGTACACAGTGAGTCACCAGTACACGGAGTCACCAGTACACAGTGAGTCACCAGTACACAGTGAGTCACCAGTACACAGTGAGTCACCAGTACACAGTGAGTCACCAGTACACGGTGAGTCACCAGTACACAGTGAGTCACCAGTACACAGTGAGTCACCAGTACACAGTGAGTCACCAGTACACGGTGAGTCACATAAGCTGAGTCACATACGTGAGTCACCAGTACACAGTGAGTCACCAGTACACAGTGAGTCACCAGTACATGGTGCAGGTCACCAGTACACGTGAGTCACCAGTACACGGTGAGTCACCAGTAACACGTGAGTCACCAGTACACAGTGAGTCACCAGTACACGAGTCACCAGTACACGGTGAGTCAACCAGTACACGTGAGTCACCAGTCACACAGTGAGTCACCAGTACACAGTGAGTCACCAGTACACAGTGAGTCACCAGTACACGGTGAGTCACCAGTACAGTGAGTCACAAGTACACAGTGAGTCACCAGTACACAGAGTCACCAGTCAGTGAGTCACCAGTACAGTGAGTCACCAGTAACAGTGAGTCGCAGACCCAGTACACGGTGAGTCACCAGTAAAGTGAGTCACCAGTACACAGTAGTCCCAGCACGTGTCACCAGTACACGTGAGTCACCAGTACACAGTGAGTCACAACACGGACACCAGTAGTGTCACCAGTACACGTGAGTCACCAGTACACAGTGAGTCACCAGTACACAGTGAGTCACCAGTACACGTGAGTCACCAGTACCTATCAAGTGCTGAGTCACCAGTACACAGTGAGTCACCAGTACAAGTGAGTCACAACAGTCACAGTACAGTGAGTCACCAGTACACAGTGAGTCACCAGTACACAGTGAGTCACCAGTACACAGTGAGTCACACAGTACACAGTGAGTCACCAGTACACAGTGAGTCACCAGTACAGTGAGTCACCAGTACCAGTGAGTCCCATACACGTGAGTACCAGTACAGTGAGTCACCAGTACATGAGTACAGTACACAGTAGAGTCCACAAGTACAGGTGAGTCACCAGTACAGTACAGAACAGTACCAGTAAGAGTCACATCACAGTGATCACAGTACAGTGAGTCACCTACGTGATCACGTCAGTGAGTCACCAGTACAGTGAGTCACAAGTACACTGAGTCACCAGTACAAGTGAGTCACCAGTACAGTGAGTCACCAGTACACAGTGATCACATACATGATCACCAGTACACAGTGAGTCACCAGTACACGGTGAGTCACCAGTACACAGTGAGTCACCAGTACAGTGAGTCACCAGTACAGTGAGTCACCAGTACAGTGAGTCACCAGTACACAGTGAGTCACACCAGTACACAGTGAGTCACCAGTACAGTGAGTCACCAGTACACAGTGAGTCACCAGTACACAGTGAGTCACCAGTACAGTGAGTCACCAGTACACGTGAGTCACCAGTACACGTGAGTCACCAGTACAGTGAGTCACCAGTAACAGTGAGTCACCAGTACAGTGAGTCACCAGTACACGTATCACCAGTACAGTGAGTCACCAGTACACAGTGAGTCACCAGTACAGTGAGTCACCAGTACAGTGAGTCACCAGTACACAGTGAGTCACCAGTACAGTGAGTCACCAGTACAGTGAGTCACCAGTACACGTGAGTCACCAGTACAGTGAGTCACCAGACAGTGAGTCACCAGTACAGTGGTATCACCGTACAGTGAGTCACCAGTACAGTGAGTCACCAGTACAGTGAGTCACCAGTACAGTGAGTCACCATGTACCATAGTGAGTCACCAGTACAGTGAGTCACCAGTACAGTGAGTCACCAGTACACAGTGAGTCACCAGTACAGTGAGTCACCAGTACACGTGAGTCACCAGTACAGTGAGTCACCAGTACAGTGAGTCACAGTACAGTGAGTCACCAGTACAGTGAGTCACCAAGTACACATAGTGAGTCACCAGTACAGTGAGTCACCAGTACAGTGAGTCACCAGTACAGTGAGTCACCAGTACAGTGAGTCACCAGTACACAGTGAGTCACCAGTACAGTGAGTCACCAGTACAGTGATAGTCACCAGTACACAGTGAGTCACCAGTACAGTGAGTCACCAGTACACAGTGAGTCACCAAGTACACAGTGAGTCACCAGTACAGTGAGTCACCAGTACAGTGAGTCACCAGTACACAGTGAGTCACCAGTACAGTGAGTCACCAGTACAGTGAGTCACCAGTACACAGTGAGTCACCAGTACAGTGAGTCACCAGTATGATCCCAACAGTGAGTCACCAGTACAAGTGAGTCACCAGTACAGTGAGTCACCAGTCCACAGTGAGTCACCAGTACAGTAAGTCACCAGTACACAGTGAGTCACCAGTACAGTGAGTCACCAGTACAGTGAGTCACCAGTACAGTGAGTCACCAGTCACAGTGAGTCACCAGTACAGTGAGTCACCAGTACAGTGAGTCACCAGTACAAGTGAGTCACCAGTACAGTGAGTCACCAGTACACAGTGAGTCACCAGTACAGTGAGTCACCAGTACAGTGATCCGCTAGTCACCAGTACAGTGAGTCACCAGTACACAGTGAGTCACCAAGATACATGTGAGTCAC